CCCCCCCCCCCCAGGGCCTCCCCTGCATAGGCCACCCCCCAGCCACAGAGCTGGGTTGGGCTCCGTACCCCAGTGCAGCTGTTTGCAGCCTGCCTGCCGCAAGCAACCTGGGTTCCATGGTAGTGTTGGCAGCTGCATGCGTGCCTCTGGGTACATGGCAGGGAAGGAGCCCAGGGCAGCACAACACCCCAGGCCTTTTTCCCGCTATGCACCCCAAGGTGCTCACACAGCCACTGGAGGCCAGATGCAGCCTCCTGGCTTCCTGCCACTTATAGCCCAGGTTCTGGGCAGCTGCTGCCAGCCACAGAGCCTAGGCTGCTCACAACAGGGCTTGCAGCCTCCTTGCCACCCAGGCTCCATGACCAGCAGCAGCTACCCACAGCCTGGGCCAGTTGTGACGTGCCAAGCAAAATGGCCTTGCCTGCCACGCATGTGGGGGGTTGTCAACCCCTGGATTAGGGTATTGTGTTTAGGCTGACAGTGCAGTGTTTCTAGGAGATAAGACAATGGATCTGTATAGGATGGTTTGGATAGGGATTTCATAGATTTCATACACATTAGAGCTGGAAGGGACCTTGGGAGATCATTGAGTCCAGCCCCCTACCCCATGGGCAGGAAGTAAGCTGGAGTCAAAGGATCCCAGCAAGATAAGCATCCAAATGCTTCTAAAAGGAGTCCATAGTAGGTGCTTGCACCACCTCTGGAGGGAGCCTATTCCAGGCCTTGGGGGCTTGGATAGCAAAGTTTTTCCTTATGTCTAGCCTAAAACAGTCTTGGAGGAGTTTGTGACCATTGGCCCTTGTCATCCCTCGGGGTGCTCTGGTGAACAGACGTTCCCTCAGATCCTGATGCACACCTCTGATGTACTTATAGGCTGCCACCAGGTCTCCCCTAAGACTGCGCTTTTCCAGGCTGAACAGCCCCATGGCTCTCAGCCTCTTTTTATAAGGCCTGTTCTCTGATCATGCACATGGGCTCTCCTCTAGACTCTCTCAAGTTTTTCCATATCCTTCCTGAATTGTGGAGCCCAGAATTGGATGCAGTCCTCCAGCGGCAGCCTCACCAAGGCCGAGTATGGCAGGAGGATGACATCCTGAGTTTTACTTGAGAAGCATCTATGGATGCAAGCCAGTTTGGTTTGCTTTAACAGCTGCGACATCACATTGGTGGCTCATGGTGCACTGCCAAGCCTATAAGCGTGCTGCGGGGGTTTTGTCCCCCACAAGGTGGAGTACCTTACATTTGTCAGTATTGACGGTCATTAGGTTTGTATCCGCCCACTTTTTCAGCCTATCCAAATCAGCCTGTATCACCAGCCTATCCTCTGGTGTGGATGCTCTACCCCAAAGTTTGGTGTCATTGGCAAACTTGGCCAGTCCACTTCTGACACCTATATCCACATAATTGATAAAGACATTGAAGGGAACAGGTCCAAGGACAGAGCCTTGGGGGACACCACTGGTCACAGAGTGCCATGAGGATTCACTTCCATCGAGCACCACTCTCTAAGTCCAGCCTCGGAGCCAATTCTCCAGCCATTGGACTGTGATGTAGCCGAGACCACAGTTGGCCAATTTTTTTTTTTTTTTGTGGATGATTCTGCCTCTGGAAGGGGGTTGGGCTAGATGACCTCTAGAGGTTCCTTCCAGCCCTACTTCTGTTTGATTCTATGAAGAGATGTGCGGGGAGCAAGAGGAAGCCACACCACAAAGAGAAAATAGGAACAATGTGCTTTTCAAGTCAAGCTTTTCCAATAAGTAGGTGGGCACAGGTGTTCCTGCGGGCAGGCTGGGTAAACTGTGGTGACTGCTCTCAGAGCAGTATCTTCCTTCATTCACAGTCTGAGAAAAATATTTAAAATAACTAGGATGCTCGCAGAAATGTCAGCCAACCATGGGCCCACCCTACTCCTTCTCTACATAAAAGAGCTGACCTTGGCAGATGTTTCCATCATACGCAGCAGGCAAAAGATACACAGGATAAAGGAAAAAGAGGGAAAACTCTGGAAGAGATGCCTGCACTACATACTTATGTGCCAGGCAACAGCACACACAGACTCTCCGTGCTGCACAATGCACAACATTTCCTTGACTGTGTTCATGAGGTGTTGCTGATAGGCTGATTAGCAGCACTGAGGGTTATTGCTAATTAGCCCAGCCTTAGTATCATATGAATGCAGCAACCCCACTTACAGTTCAGGTGGCACATGCAGAGTGACACGGCACATATCAGGGAACCCCAGTCTGCCACAATATTTTAAGAAGTACCTGCAACACAAAGACTGAAAACTTCAAGGAGAAAGAATATGAGAAATGCAGGCAGGCAGTAGGGAAGAATAAAAAATGGAAAGCAAAGATGACAAGCAAGCACAAAGCGAGAAAGGGAGGGAACAAGAGAACCCCTGATAAAATGCAGTGGAGATACCAAAAATTCAGTGACCCAAATAGCAGATGTGACAAACAAGGAGGAAACTCCACACCAGAAAGTCCAAGAACCACAGCAGCAGGCGTTACAGTAAGATATAATGCCCGTAAGATCCTCCAACGTGTCCCTGAATGACTGTCTCATGTCAGCTGCTGCAAGATATAATGGACCAAGGGCAACCTTTGGTGTAAAGCCTTTACTTTAGATGGAGTTACACCAAGGACATATTTGCCAAAATGTTTAACAGTAACAAGAAAAGGTCTTACTTGTTTTAGCTGAACAAATGTCAATGGATAAATGCTTTTTACTGGTCCAGATGGTGACAGATCATCAAGAACTTCTAGCAGAGTGCCTATCTGCAACACAAGAGAAACAGGTTTAGTTCAGCCAAAAAAAATTCACCATTCTATTAATGACCAATTAGAACACAGAAATGAGGTCCAAATTCTGTGTTGTCACATCATTAGTAGTTAAAATACTTCCATTGGTTTCCTCTGAACCACTCTAGATTCATGTTGCTGTAACTAGAAGCAGATTATGCCCCTGACAAGTGTTATCCAAGATGTTTAAAAACAAAAACAAAAAACCTGACCCTAAATTTTAGAAACAGTAAGGCTTTAATTCAACGATAAACATAAGCATATGCTTAACTTGGAGCATTCAAATAATCCCACTGATTTATACATTAAGTAGAAGTTTAATTACCTTGCTGAAACAGAGTTAATGCCCAAATGCTGCTCTTTGAAATTTATTTTTGAGATGATAAAAAGAGTTTTGTCCAGTTGTTCATTAGGTCTATTCAATATACGCAATATGCAGAATCCCCCAAAAGTCCCAAGGTAACATTATTTATTTATTTTAAAGATCATCAGATAGCTATTCACTTTTATACATAGTGTTTCCACATTCCCAGTGTAAAATTAGACAATGCAGAGTTAAAATATTTCCAAAAGTCAGCATTTGTTTATAAATAACCTCAGAAAATTTACTGAAGGAATACAGCACATAAAATTATGTAAAATGTCATACTTCATACACATGTACGGTAAGAAAAAGAAAGAAAACCTTCAATGCTAAGCATTTCAAAACAAGAGAAAACCTTCACACTGTTTAAGCAAAAAGCAAAAAGTGCTATAACATTAAAAGGCACATCAATTTTGTGCAAAATAGTTTCTATGCATGCCATTAGAAAACATGAACCACTTGTTCTGTACATGCAATCATTTCTCTTGCATACAAAAAAAGTGTTAACCAAAAGACAGAAGTTTAAGATATTTGTGCAATAAGCTTTATGATTTGCTAGCCCTTTTGATCATATATTCTGTGCTCATCACCCTGGTAACTATGTAAATGTCAGCACCATAAGGTTCCCACAAGGTCTAGAACACAGCCTGCAGGCTCGAGTCCGGGAAAATTACCTTCCCCCATTAATTCTATTTAGTCCAACATATGCTGTGTCCTGGTCACTGGCATCTATATTGTGACTAGCCGTATACCATAATATTAGCATCTGACAAAGTAGGCTGTCACCTATGAAAGCTCATGCCTCTTTGAACTAGCTTGTCTATAAGATGACACTTAGCCCTGCCTTCTGCCTCACACAAGGACTTGAGGGGGAACGTAGCCTAGATTCATGAACAGAGTCCATCTAGGACCTGGTCTGCCCAGCACCATGAGACAACTTACCCTTCCTTAATGGCTCCAAGCATGGAAGTTATTTAGCTCACCATTGCTTATAGCTTTGTCAACCCAACTGGGCACATCTGTTCTGTTGGCAAAACCATGGACCTGCTGAAGGAGTTACTCCGGACTGCAGGTCTCATGAGCATTATAGAAATAGCTGAACATGCCAGATGAGGAGTACACATACCAAGTAGGACATGAGAATAAGCTGTTTTCCCTGCCCTTTCCTCAAGTGTATGATATGTAGAATGGTGTGTGGATTCATATCACTGTGCAGGCATGGGGCAATTCCAGCACTTCCACACAAGAAAGCAGACCTTCATGGATGCATGCAAGGAGCGTGCCCAAGCCCTTCAACGCCACACTATACAACCAAGAGATCTCCTCCTATGGCAATGGGGTGTTATCACTATATGAAAGCTGGATACCTCTGACTGCAACAGGGAACCAGTTTGGAATTGGTGAACCAACACAGAAGAGGTTTCTGACATTATTGAAGCTGTTTATCTATAGATTTTTAGTATAAGGGATTGCACCTGAAAGAAACAGCTGACCTTCAAAGCACACACCTCCCAAACCATGCTGGGACTGTGGCTGGCATAGAGAACCCCTTAACTTGGCCTCTGAAAGAGTCAGTCAGGGTCAGCCCATCCTACCCTGCAAAACCGGCTGCAGGGGGTCCTGCAGCTAAGGGCCCCTGGCCACTCGTCACCTCCTTCCCCACCCCCTCATCCCCCTGGTTGCCGGCTTCTTCGGCCCCTTGCCCCCCCCCCCGCCTTTTTTGGGGG